TTCATCAATCGACAATATCTCTCCAAGTAGCTTCTTTTCTCGATTTATGTTTTAACCATCTTCTCATCCGCGAATGAATGTACTTTGGACCTTTTATTGCCCTGTCTAAGCCGTTGGCTTTGTCAACACACCGTTCCCACGGCTGGACCGGCACCCGACCCAAAAAAACGCAGGCCGAGCTCGCACGCTCATCATCATCATATACCCAGCCAAGCACATCAACCACGCAGCAAAACAGCCTCGCTCCTCTACGCACTCCATGTTCTTGTAACACTACAAACCCTCTCCTTTCCTCCTGCTCTTCCTCTTCGAGCATACTTTCTTCCTTTACAGCAAGAAAATGTCTGCGGCCGCCGACGCGCAGGCGCACGTCGTCGCGCAGCCGCCGTCACCCAAGCCGAGCCACGACTACAAGGGCTTCGTCGCCGGCATAGGCAGTGGCATTGCCAAACTCACAGGTAACGTTTTTTCCGTGCGGGCGTGGCTGTCCCTATTCCCACTTCCGGCCTTTTTCACTTTTCGGACTCCCTGTTCTAACCTTGCTTTCCTTCTCCCCTCTTTCAGTCGGCCATCCCTTTGACACGGTCAAGGTGCGCCTGCAGAGCTCCGACCGCTTCAAGGGCCCGCTCGAGTGCGTCTTGCAGACGATTCGCCTCGAGGGCGTGCGCGGGCTGTACAAGGGCGCGACGCCGCCGCTCGTCGGCTGGATGTTTATGGACTCGGTCATGCTGGGCTCGCTCAGCGTCTACCGGCGTCTGGTGGCGCAGCACGTCTTTCACGTCGACGTCTGGGCGCCCGGCACCCTCCTGCCCTCCTCCTCTGGATCCTCGCGGACCGCGCTGCCGTCTGTCGGCCACGGCCTGGCCGGCATTCTCGCCGGCGGAACCGTCTCCTTCATCGCCGCGCCCGTCGAGCACGTCAAGGCGCGGCTGCAGATCCAGTACGCCGCCAACAAGGCTGCCCGGCTGTACTCGGGCCCGCTCGACTGCGTCGCCTGCATCTACCGCCACCACGGCGTGCGCGGCGTCTACCACGGCCTCGGCGCCACGCTCCTCTTTCGCGGCTTCTTCTTCTTCTGGTGGGGCTCCTACGACCTCTTCTCGCGCTGGATGCGGCAGCACACGAGCCTCAGCCATCCGGCCGTCAACTTTTGGGCCGGCGGCCTCTCGGCGCAGGTGTTTTGGCTGACGTGCTACCCGGCCGACCTCGTCAAGCAGCGCATCATGACGGATCCGCTCGGCGGCGGCCTGGGCGACGGCCGGCGCAAATACGCGACGTGGCGCGACGCCGCGGTGGATGTCTACCGGGAGGCGGGCTGGAGGGGCTACTGGCGCGGCTTCTTGCCGTGCTTTTTGCGTGCCTTTCCGGCGAATGCAATGGCGTTGGTTGTGTTTGAGGGCTTGATGAGGACATTGCCGTAGAAAAAAGGCATATAAAAAGCGTTGCATTTGTTGTGTGTAGATATAGAAAGGCGACATGGCGGATACAATACTGGTACATTCACAAGAAGCTGGCATAGGATTGCAAATTTTTTGAATCAAGAGATTCGGTGGGTATATTTTGGAAACATCCAGGACAACAGACTGTAAATTACTTTCCGAAAATCGCCAGCCCTTCTACGAGCCGAATCACCAGCCAGAAAGTGCCTCCATCCGGACATTATCTCCTCACATTTCCCTATCCGATACGTTACTTCTCATAACCCTTTTTTCTTCTTCTCAAAGACATGATCCCTCTTGAAAGCCCATGCCCCCGTCCTGCACAAATTCAGTCAAGAATTGCGCGCATTTACTCGTCATCCTCATCGGCCTCGTCGTTGACAACGTTGAAGAACTTGAGCTCGTAGACGCCGCGCGAGGTGGAGACGACGCGGAGCCAGTCGCGGAGCTGCTGCTTCTTGAGGAACTTCTTGGTCAGGTACTTGAGGTAGCGGCCCGAGAGGTCGTTGTGCGCAATGACCTCGATCTTGCCCTCGCCCTGCTGCTGAATCACAATGTCGTCGCCGAGGTTGTTGGTGCGGCCCTCGACCTTGATGCGCTCCTGCAGAAACTTTTCGAAAGCGGCAGTGTCGAAAATCTTGTCCGCGGCGGGCTGAGAAGCGTTGATGATGAACTGTGTGCAAGTTGGGTGTTAGCGGGAAACTTGGGCTCTCCAACCTGGCACACATGCGCCGTTTGTAATCCCTTTATTAAACGAAAAAAAGGATTGAATTGAAAAACGTACCTTCTTGGTCTGCTTCTGGGCCTTGCCAGACTTCTTCTAAATGGACATGACATCTTAGCCTACTGCAATTTTTTTTCCTTCATAACCTCCGGTGGGTTTTCATCGCTCGGCAAGAGGTTCTTACACCCCTCGCCTACAGCAAAGCGGTTGCGACATCATGTACATACAGCAATGGGAGCCATTTCGACGGTATTGAAAGGATTGGTAGAAATTTCGGTGTTTTTTTCTTTTTTTGGTCGTGAAGATCGCAAAGAGGTCAAATCCTGCGCCTTTTGGAGGGTTAATTCGGATGTGTTTGCAGAGTGGGAACTATTTTTCCGCTTCGCTTCGCTGTGAACCTCGTCTTGGTGGGCTACCCACATTAAATTTTGCTGGTGGATGCCACCGCAGCTTGCAAAAGTTAGGGCTCTCGCGGATTAATCATTAGCCGAAGACGCCAAAGTTGGCAACATGACGACGAATCACGTGCATTTCCTAAACAGGCAATGCGACGAGCTGCTCCGTGTAAGTGAGAGAGAATCAAACGGCGAACAAAGTATGGAGCGAGGTGCAATAGCAAAAGGTTTACGCATGTTGTAGAAGCATATTAATGAGAGCAAAGAGAATCAATCGAGGAATGCAGAAAAGTACTGTGATTCGAGCCTTGCTGTACCGTGACATAATAAATCGAAAAGAAAGATTGGAAACAATGAAAACCCCGCTAATCTAGACGCCTCAATGCAAATGATTATCCTAGCCAATTCTCGAAACCCTGCAAAAATACATGATAAGAATCGTAAAAGTCGTAATACATGCAAATTCCCATCATGTCATTTCTCGTACACTCTATTTATCGTTTTTGTTGAACAGCTTCTTAATGACGCCCTTGAAGCCACCAGCCTTCTTGGCGTCTACGTCCTCCTTTTGGTGGCGCTCGCGAATTCGGTTTCTGCGCCTCGCGTCCTCATCCGTCGGAATATCAGACTCGCGCCGCGAAAACTCTCCCTTGGAGTACCGCTCCTCCCGGGGTTCGTCCTTGGGGTGCTCACGCCGGGAGTGCTCTCGTCGGGACGAGGATTCGCTCTTGATGGAGCCCTCGGCGTCGCGGCGGCGACGGCGGCGGCGGCGAGCCTCGTCCTCTCCCGTGTTGGATTCGTCCGAATCTTTTGGTGTGCGCCCGGCCTCGTCGGTGCCGGAAGTAGGCGGCGTAGGTCTGGATTTCTGAGAGGAGCTCGGGCGGTGTCTGGCCAGATCTGCTGGTCTATCCTTTGTGGAATGGCTGAGTCGTCGAGATCTGTGGCCATGCTCGCCACTTGTTGCGCTTCTTTCGGCCGCCTCCTTCTTCTTTGCAGCCGCTGCTGCCTCTTTTCTCGCAGCCTCGGCCGCTTCCTTCTTTGCAAGCTCGGCCGCCTCCTTTTTTGCAGCTTCGCGGCGCAGCCTATGACGCTCTGCTCGACGTGCCTCGGCCTCGAGCCGCGCGGCTTCTTCTTCACGTTCCTTGCGCTTCTTGTCGCGCTCTTCGCGCTCCTTGCGCTCCTGCTCGCGCTCCTGCTGGCGACGACGATGCGCCTCCTTGCGTCTGTCATGGTCAGCTTGCTCTTCTGCTGACAGGATTGGCGTTCTCTTCTTCTCCGGGGATGCAGTGGACTTTCGTGGCGGCGGCTCTTCAACAGCCACAGGCGTCTTGTGCTTCCTCTCCCGCTCCACAGAGGTTCCATGCCGGCTTCCCGAGGGGCTGTTGTTCTGCGCCGAGTAGCCGCTGTCGCGGCGCTTAGTCGGCGCCCTGTCGTCGTCGGTCGCTCCTCGAGTGCCGTCCGACTTGTGTCGATGCGAGCTGCCGCGCGAACCTCGGCGTTTAGCGTCTTTATCGTCACTCAGATTGCGTCGCAAAGATCGAGGTCGAGCATCTTTGTCGTCGCTGAGTTCGCGCCGCGACGATCGAGGTCTAGCATCCTTATCATCGCTCTCCTCGCGATGCGTCGCCGACGGCCTGCGTATGCGCCGACGACGCTCACCATCGTCTGCACGGTCATCACGGCGGTCCCTAATTCTCTCTACTTTTTTTGTTAGCATGTGCTGGTCAGGCGTTGAGAAGCAAAGAAAGCGACAACGACAACAGCGAAAGACAAGAGCCACAAGCACACTATATCACAAGAAAGTACCCGCCAGCCAATCCCCCAGGGTTGAGATGCAAGACCGACGCATTAGTGCCATGCTGCAAAAATGTTTGGCTTCTTGATGGGCGCGCAGATGTCTGCTCTGTAACTCTGCGCGCAATGGTGAGGGCATGCATGCAGCCTCATACCATATTCCCATCAGCTCTTGCTTCCCAACTGCCTGTGATTGGCCAGTGGTTTAAACGCGGAACCCTCGCGCAGCATCACAGAAATTCTTGCGGACCGAGAAGAAAAGTACAATAATCATAAACATAAATTTCCACAGTAATGATGCTTTAGTATCTCATAGTCACGAGACGGAGTGCTGCCCTAGGAGCTGCCCTCGGTAGGGGGTGTTGTCTTGATGGCAGGCCTGGTCTTGAATAACCTTGAGCGCAGCCACGAGAAAGGCGAGAGGATCAATCTGGCCAGCGACACGAAGAATGTCGGCTTCGACTGTGAGTTGTTAGTCGTAAACAACATCATAGCGTAGGAAAGAGGTAGTAGCCATACGCTTGCCACAGCAATGGATTTCGATGTAGCTGTGCTCTCTTCGGGCTGAGGTTCGGTGGCGACCTCGGCGGCTGGTCCAGCAGCAGCTTCAGCTGTAGGCTCGCTGGCGGCTGGTCGACGGCGGCGCAAGGTTGATTCTGGCTCAGGAGCAGGAGTCGCCTCAGTAACAGGGCTGTCCTTTGCGACAGGCTCCTCAATTGCTCTAGTAGCAGGCTCGGCTTGCGCGACTTCGGCGTCTGGCTTCACCGTGTGACCGTTCTCATCGTCTTTCTTGAAAGAAGCGGCGCCAACGGCAGCTGCACCGACAACAAGGGCAGTGCCAGCAACACCAGCAGCGATGGCGGCTACCTTGCCAGCATCGTGATCCTTCTCGGCGGGTTTCTCGACCTTGGGCTCATCGGCGACAACGGTGCTCGTCTCCGACGCCTCTGTCTCCTTTGACTCTTCAAGCTTGGGTTCATCATTCTTTGCAGATTCCGTAACATCATTATTCTCCACCTCCACAGCGACTTCCAAATCGGATGGGGTATCTTTCACGTGCGTAACATCAAGTTGGGTATCAGCTATCTGACTCTCACCTTTGGTCCTCTTCTCCTCCGTCTTCTCCTCCTGCTTGCCGTGAAAATGTTTGATGGCAGCTGCAGTAGCGGCGGTAGCGGCGGCGGCAGCAATGGCAGCAGCGGTGGCGGCTTCTATGCTGTGGTCCGGGTTTTGTTTCTTTGCCTCCTTCGCTTCTTCAGCTGCAGCCACAGGCTCGGGAGCAGGTTTTTCAGCTGCAGCTTCTTCAGCCGCAGGTTCGGTAACGGGCTCGTCTTTAGCGACGGGATCCTCGGAAGCAACATCGGCGGCAGGTGACTCTTCAGTCTCAGTCTCGACAGCCTCCTCGGCAGCAGACTCAGCGACAGCTTCCTCGGGGGCAGCCTCGGTAGCCTCCGGCTCCTTGGGAACAGCAGCCTCGGCCTCGGACTCTACCTCCTTGGTTTCTTCCGGCGCCTGCTCCTCAGCGGCGGAAACGTCTAATTCGGGCTCGGCAGGAGCTTCAGTCTCGGCCTCGGGAGCAGCCTCGACCTCTTTGACAACAGGTTCCTCTTCCACTGTCGGCTCGGCAACAACAGACTTCTCTTCTACAGCCGGTTCAGCAGCAGCAGGCTCGTCGGCTGGGACGTCAATGACAGACGCGACTCCGCTGGCAGCAGGCTCTTCAAGAGGAGCATCATCAACAGACACCTCAGGGACTGAGATTTCCTTGGGGGCCTCAAACTCGGCTTCCAGGGCAGACTCGTCTTCATCGTCAGAGGGATACTGCACAACAGCAGCCGTAGTGACAGCAGCAGCACCCAGAGCAGCAAGGGCAGCAGTAGCCTCGGCGTCGTCAGATGGCTCCTCCTTCGAGGCCTCGACTGGCTCATCCGTAGCGGCATCGGCGGGGACATCGGGTTCAGCGACAGTTTCAGGCTTGTCTTCAAGTTCCTCTGCGGCCTTGTCAGCGGCAGCCTCTTCCTGTGACTCAGCGGCAGGCGCGTCCTCGGCGGTAGCGGCCTCTGCTTCAGCAGGAGCCTCTACGACAACGGGAGCGTCAGCTGCAGGAGCAGCAGTCTCTTCCTGCGCCGCAGGTGCCTCTTCCGTCTTCACCTCCGCGGGCTCAGCGGCAGCAGGAGCAGCCTCTTCCTTGGGCTCTTCCTGCGTCTCGGGCTCAGCGGCGGGCACGGCTTTTTCACTGGTGGGTTCTTCACCAGCAGGCTCTCGCTCTGCCTCACCAGTGGCGGGCTCGACGGGCTTGACATCCTCCGCAGGAGCGGCATCTTCGGCGGCGGCGTCTGCGGGTTCAGTCGGAGCAGCGGGCACAGCTTCCTCACTAGCAGGCTCGCCAGCAGGCTCTCGCTCTGCACCACTGTCCTCCTCAGCCGTCTTGTCCGCGGCGGCAGGCTCGGCGACGGGTATCTCGGCTGCGGCGACGTCAGCAGCAGGCGCAGCAGCTTCTTCTTCCTTGGCCTCGGCGCCTTCTTCAGCAGGGGTGGCGGGCTCGGGCTCCTTGGTCTCCTCGGTTGCTTCAGGTTCCGGGACGACTGTGGGCTCAACATCCTGAGCAGGCTCAGTGATGACGGCTTCCGCAACGGAGCTCTCGGGGACCTCGACGGGGGCAGCGGCCTCGTCAGCGGCAGGAGCATCTTCAGTCTGGGGAGGTTCGGGGGCGGCCTCCTCATCCTTGGGAGGCTCCTTGGCAGAGGCAGACTCTTCAGAGGCGGGAACTTCCTCGGTGGGAGCTTGGACGTCCTCTTCAGCAGCTGCGGGCTTCTCTTCAGCAACTGAGTCCGCGGGCCTGTCCTCTTCAGGGTTGACCTCGTCCTCCTTGGCAACTTCTTCGGAGACGGGCGCGGCGGTAGCCTCATCAGTGGCGACTGGTTCCTCCGCGGTCTTGTTCTCCTCAGTCGCTGCTTCAGGCTCAGCAGGGGTCTCATCCTTGGGAGTATCAGTGGAGGCTTCCGCAGCAGCCTCCGGCTTAGAATCGGCGTCGGCGGCAGGCGTTTCGGGCTTGAGATCCTCGGCAGCTGGTTCCGCCGGCTCGACAACGGCTGCCGGCTCCTCTTTGGCCGGTTCGGGAGCTTCCGCAGGAGCCGTCTCTGCTACCTTGGGCTCGGCTTCCGCAGCAGGGGTTTCTTCCTTGGCCGGCTCAGCAGCGGCAGCGGGAGCAGCCTCTTCAACCTTGGGCTCAGCTTCGACAGCAGCAGCCTCCTCTTTAGCAGACTCGGCAGCAGCAGGCGTCTCCTCCTTGGCAGATTCAGCGGGAGCCTCGGGAACGGTCTCGGCGTCGGCCGCAGGCGCTTCCTCCTTGGCAGGCTCAGTGGTGTCCTCCGCCTCCTTGACAACCTGGGCGATGACCGGCTCCGCGTCAACGGCGGGCTCTTCCGGGGCGGCAGCAGCCTCAGGCTCCGCTGGAGTCTCCGGAACTTCAGGAATAGCTTCCTTGGTGGCTTCGGGAGCAACAGCAGCCGCTTCGTCTAGCTGGGCCTCTTCGGTAGGCGCCTGGACATCCTCGGCGGCGGGATCGGGGGTGGTCGTCGTCGTTGGCTCCACGGGCTTGTCCTCCGCAGAGGCGGCGGCTTCTTCGACAGATGGGACGGCCTCAGCGGGAACGGGCACTTCAGCAGCGGCAGATTCCGGTGCAGGGTCCTCCTTGGAGGCTTCGGGCGCGGCGGCGGGCTCAGCGGGAGAGGGCTCCTTGGCCTCTTCTGTCGTTGCCTCGGCCGGCTTATCAGCAACATCCTCGGCAGGCTCAGCGGGGGCTTCCACAACGGGCGTAGGCGCCTCCTTGGGTGCTTCAGGCGTAGCAGCCTCTTCAGTCGCCGGGGCGGGCTCCTTGACCTCTTCAGCCGCCTCGACGGGCGTATCGACTACATCCGCGGCAGGCTCCGTAGTCGCAGGCGTCTCTTCCTTCTTCTCCTGGGCAGCGGCTGGCGCGGCTTCTTCAGCGGGATTGGCAGCGGCGACGGTAGATGGTTCGGCAACGACCGCAGCTTCGATGGCGGGAGCGGCGGCTTCCTCCTTAGCAGGTTCGGTCTCCTCTGCGGGCTTGTCCTCAACCGACGCAGCAGCCGTCTCAGAAGCGGGCTCCGGCACCTCGACTGGCTTCTCCACAGCTTCGGGCTCCGCTTCCTTGGGTGCCTCGACGGGAGCAGGCTCCTGGACCTTGGCCTCGGGCTCCGCAGACGTAGCAGCCTCTTCCTTCTTGTCAGCCTCGGGCTCAGCGAGCTTGGCCTCTTCAACCTCGGCAGCCTCGACGGCGGGAGCAGCTTCCTCGGTCTTTGTCTCCGCGGCAGCGACGGCAGGCTCGGCGGGCGCAGCTTCAGCAGGTTTTTCCTTGGCAGGAGCAGGCTTGGTCTCCTCGCCGGATGGCTGGTCCGCGGTCGCAGCGTCAGGCACAGGTCCTGCGGCAGGTTCTTCGACTACAGCAGCCGCGACAGTTGGTTCCGCGGGCGTCTCCTTTTCGGCAGCAGCAGCATCAGCAGCAACTTCCGCGGCGGGCTGGTCCTTGGTCGTGTCCGCCTCTTTCTCCTTCCCGGGACTGGCATCTGGAGCCAGCTCGGCAACGGATTCGGTAGCAGCAGCAGCGACAGGCTCTGGAGCAGCGGCGGGGGCGGCTTGAGCCGGCGTCTCTTCTACTTTTGGTATTTCCTCTGCAGCGGCCTTTTCTTCTTGCGCGGGCACAGCAGCAGCAGTAGCAGCCGCCTCCTCTTCCGGCTTCTTCTCCTCCTGAGCTGGCTCGGCTACCTTGGACTCGGCAGCAGGTACCTCCTCGGCTGGCGCAGCAGCAGCAGGGGCTTCGGGCTCCTTGACCTTATCCTCCTCGTCGGCTTCCGTAGGAGCAGCAGCTGCAGCATCGGCGGCCTCGGGCTTCTTGTCCTCGGGAGCCGCTGCGGGAACGCTCTCATCTACAGCAGCAGCAGCCGTCTTGGCAGCATCATCATCCTTCTCATCCTTCTTTACACTATCGTAACTCGTAACCTCATCCACGGTAGGTTCACTTTCGGCAGGGGTAGCGGAATCCTCGTTTGTCTTGGGGGCTTCGCCATCATTGGCCGCAGCGGCGGCGTCTTCAGCGGCCGGGGTGGCCGCTTCCTCGACGGCAGCCGCTGTCTCGGTTTCTTGTTGTTGTTGTTGTTGTTGTTGTTGTTGTTGTTGGTCGTTGGGTTGGGCATTAGTCGTGTCATTCTGGGTCGTATCAGGCTCATCATTAGGGGTATCTTGCTCAGCGGCATTCTCAGTCGTAACAGTCTCGTCAACAGCATCGGTAGTGGTGGTGGTGGGCGCGGCGTCGGCGGCGGCAGTAGCAGCCTCGGCCGGCGTGGCAGGCTCCTCGGGGGGTGCCTGGGCCGCGGCGGAGACGGCGGCGGCTGCGGCCTTGTCCTTTTTCTTCTTGTCTCTCTTTCTTTGGTTCTTCCTTTCATTCTTGGCATTCTTGGACTTGGGCGGGGACACGGGCGCGGCGGCCTCGTCGTCGGTGGATGACGACTTTTTGCCCTTTTTCGTCTTCTTGCTCGATTTCGAAACCTCTTCCGCCGGAGCGGCCGCGGCGTCGTCACCGGCAGGCGAAGCGTCTCCTGCGCCCTGGTCCTCGACCTGAGCTTCCGTTGTGTATTCTCCCTCTCCCGCGTCTACTCCTTGTTAGCTTTGTCGTTGTTGGGTCCCCTTTTCATTTCTCTTGATGCAAAAAGAAAAAAGGCCCTGGCGTCAGTCAATACGCACCTAATTCATTTTCGGCTTCTTCGTCTTCAGACATGGGAATTCCGTAGTTGACGTGGGAAAAGTCGGCTGTTTGCACAGCTCCCCAGGCATTCCTACGGTAGTCGTAGGTGTCGACACCTTGATGTTGCTCTTCCGACGCCATTTTGAGGTTGTTTGGCTTGGTGTGAATGTGGTGAGAGTAGAGGAGCCAGCGGTTGTGATAAGAGACGGGGTCGACAGAAGTAGAGATGAGATGACCTGGTTTCAAAAGCAGAAATCAATGCTATCACGCTGTTACTGCTCGAGAAATAGTTGTTACAAAGGCTGGTGCCTGTTCAAGGGAGCACAATCACCCTTGCAAGTAACAATTAGAAAGTTGCAAAAATAAAATCAAAACAAGATTAAACGACGTAGAGGAAAAATCCTTTCTGATTGTTCCCTTACAACGTTGTGGGTTGTGGTGTGGATGGGGGCGGCTGCAGGTTGGGATGATGTCAGGCAGCGATAGGCGCCCGAGGGTGGTGATGATGATGATGTGTGTGTGTGAATAGGATGATGAGAGGTCAGACAGATGCGGGCGGTGAATAACAGAGCAGTTGCATGTTTCAGGAGTGAGTAGAGAGTGAAAAGAGAAGAAAAAAGAACAGCTGCAGCTCGGCGGGGAGAGGAGAGGTCTATCAAGTCGTGCAGAGCGCGAAGAGAGCAAGAGTGAGCATGGGTAACACAATGGAGACTTGTTTTGGCTCCGCATCAACACGGCATCGATATACGTACTGATACAGATGCAGTGGTTAATTTCTTCTCTTCGATATTACTAGGGTCATGTTGTGTGTATATTGTTTGGTACCATAAATGTATCTCTTTTTTTTTTCTTCCTGCGTCAGGGTCTACCCCGGCCTAGTCTTTGGGCGGCGGGGGTACATGGATCATGTTGACCAAGTGACAAGATTTGCTGGGAAACCGACTCAATTAGGTGGCCGGGATACGTCAGTGTCGAAATGGTTGCGCAGCCAGAAAAAAATAATGAAAAACTGAAGAGAGAATCGAGACGACGCGGTCGTGTTGTGTGACTTGGTACTTGGGCTGTTTGAGGATGGTTCGTCGAAAAGCTACCTTGGGACAAAGATGGATGCCCGACTGCGGAGTTGAGGCCGACGTGCATAAGTCGGCATGCGTCGTTTGCCATTGACGAAGGAAATCAAAGCAGATAAAGACTTCATCAGGAACAATAAAAAACGCGCGAATGACTACTTACCAGCTGTAGCCCGGTTGGGCTCACCCATCACAATAATGCAAGCCTTGCATCGCATGTATCAAATACCAACGTCTATCCTCCTCTACCCTCCATCTCTTTTGCCCAACACCACACGCACAGAGCCGAGCATAACTTTTGTCTCGTCACGCACATGATTCGTTCGTACCGGCCGACCTGCAGCATGCGACGTGGCTCGCCACTCGTGTTAGCAAGCACACAGCGCAGCCCTTGGATGAGAAGCGGCGCATTTTCGTATCTTGTCTTTTTTTGCTCTGCTCCCATCATCTGTCATGATACCAGCCAGCCAGCCAGCTCCAGCACACCACTTCTCTCCTCTCGGCGTGGCGGGCACTGAGACATGGCTGGCCGGACGGACGGACCACAATGGTTCTCTTTTGACGACCCGATCTTGACTGGTTGAGCCGAGGCAAACGGCCCAAGGTTCCTCTACATCTCACTACAATTTCCATCTTGCCCGACATTTGGGAGGGGTTCTTCGCACGTCACCATGGAAACCGCAGCCTGAACCCTGACAAAAAGATGTCTAATATATCATTATTGACGCTATCGTGAGCAAGGATCACTGCCCAAGCTCATTTCCAAAATGGCGGTGTTTGTGGTGAGGGTACCCGTACACGACATGGGTGGTTGAGCTGGTGTTGTCTGGTCGGTGCGCCGCGCTGCGGTGCTACCAAGTAAATAGATGACCAACGCCACTATCAAGTAAACAACTGCCAAATCATGCGACCACTTTATAATAAATCAGATGGTGCATTATTATGATGGCATGTATAATTTTCGCGTGCATTGCTGTCAACAAAAAGGTTTCCCACCTTCTTTCTTCATAGGTAGTTGGGCAACCTGTACAGGCCGCGGGTGCAAACGCCCAATCTCGAGGAAAATCCTCATTTGCCAGCTGGCATTATTAGATACGTATCTGCAATGCTACCTGAGGCCACCACCGAAAAGAAGAAAAAAAAAAAAAAAAAAGGAAACAGCCCACCAAATCTTTTTCTTTCCGCTCCGAGCAGGGTCCCCAGGGCCCAGGGACCCACATGAGCTTTTCGGGCTTTGATAATGACCCGGCCTATTACTACAGATTATTACCGATGACTACCCATCATGCAAATGTGTTGCTTTTGTTTTTCCTTTCGAAAGGAGAAACTGTCGTCTTTTGTCGCTGATTCATCGGATCGCCTCTTTGGTATATCGTTCTGCATCTTCAACGTAAGAACAAACTTCCAGGCACATTATTAGATCATTACCCACCACAATCATGAAATCACCACCTGCATTCAACCACCTCATCATGCAGGACCCCAACCACACACACACACACATCTATATACTGCTACTTTCCTTTTCTAGAAACACCCACGTTTGCCGGCCGCTCCTTTTCCCTCTTTGGACATCCTAATCAGACGACAAAAAGTGATATATCCATCTCTCCTTGTCCTACCTGGGCAAGCTGCACAAACGTAACAACTCGCACTCCGACGCTGTGTCGGTTGCTCTTGTAACCGCACATCGCGGCATTGCTCTCCTCTTCCTTCATTCTACACGTAGTCATCACGTAGAAACATGCCAAAATAGATAATATGTAGTGACAGCATCATTTAAGCTCTTCATTTTTGGTATCTCATCACATGCCATCCCGAGCGCAAACATGTACGCACGCTATCAGCCTCATTTTCGCTTTCCTCGTATCTTTTCTTCTTTGTAGCACATCCTGACCTGCTTCGTACCGCTCTGGATCATCTACCAGCTGGTAAGCGTCTTGGGCGGCTTCTCAAACCAGCTCCCCACCTTTGGCGCCGGCATCTCCTAGGCTGCCGGCGCCGGGGGCTGTTGCGACTGCTTGTCCGTCGCGCTTGGCGCGTAGCTCGCCTGCGCCCGGTTCTTCTTGATCACCTCCTTGACCCGCGCCTCGGCCTCGTCCCAGTCCTCCGTGTCCAGGTGCACCAGGTCGATGCCAAACTGGTCCGCAATCTTGCTCAGCGCGTCAAAGCTCTTCTTGTCGTAGACGAAGCTGATGCTGACGCCCACCCGCCCGAACCGGCCCGTGCGTCCGATTCTGTGCAGATACGTCTCGTAGTCGGGCTCCTCGTCGTTGCGTCCTTTCATCGGAATGTCATAGTTGATAACCATGGACACCGACGACACGTCGATGCCGCGAGCCAGCACGTTCGTCGTAATCAGCACCTTGTTCTCGCCCGTCCGGAACTTGGTCAAAAGGTCGTCGCGCTCGCCGCCGTCAAACGCGGCGTGCAGCGCAGACACCTTGTGGCCGTCGGCAACCATGCGGCGCTGAATCTCGTTGGCGCTTTCTCTCGTCTGCATGTTGTCAGCGTTGCACTCGTAGATACCCGTCAATTTCCTTACCTTGACAAAAATGACAGATTGGCCAATCGTCATCAGACCGTACAGCTTGCATAGCACATCGTACTTTGTATTGTCATCGGGGCAGTCGATGAACATTTGCGAAATACCCTTGACCGTCAGTTCGCTTCGCTGCAACTTCAGCGAGTGTGCGTTCGGCGCAAACTTTCCAGCGTAGCTGTTAACCTTGTCGGGAAAGGTCGCGGAGAACAGGAGCGTCTGGATATTCTTGGGAAGCATGCTATCCCCTCTCCATTAGCACATAAAAAAGCACAGCAATCACATCGTAACCGTAACGTACCCCTTGACGCGCATGCACTGGTCACCCAGACCCTGCTGATCCAGCATGTTGTCGGCCTCGTCGAGCACCAGCACCTTGAGCGTCGTAGCGTTGAGCTGCTTCCGCCTGATAATGTCCATGACCGTGCCAGGCGTGCCGACAATGACGGCCGCGCGGACGGGCTCGCCGCGGGGCAGCGCGCCGGGAATGGCCGCGGCCACCTTGAGGTTGGGGAGGAACCTGCCAATCGCCTTGATGACGCCTTCGATCTGGCGGGCGAGCTCACGGCTGGGCGCGAGCGCGAGCGCCTGCGGCACCTCGGGCTGGCTAAAGTCGACGCGCGACAGAATGGCCGTCACAAACGCGGCCGTCTTGCCCGTGCCCGACTGCGACTGCGCCAGCATGTTTCTCGGGGGGTCGGACAGCATCAGAGGCAGCGACTTTCCCTGCACCTTGGACGGCTTGAGAAAGTTGAGGGCGAGCAGGCCTTTGAGGATATCGGGGGAGCTAACGGGAACCCAGTCAGTACTTCTCGGAGCGTTGTGCATGGCCAGACAAACTAATGGGAATTCGTTGAAATAATCAGGGGGGGCAGATGAAGAAAATCGACGGCTCTCTACTCACAGTCCAAGGTCATCCCAGTTGGTGGCTGAGTGAAACGGCGTCGCCTCGTTGTTTTGCAGATCGCTCAGCGAGACCTCGACATCCCACTCGGGCTCCTGCAGACCAGAGCCGCCCAGAGCCTCGGGCGCGCCGTCGACCTGAGCATCAGGAGTCGGCGTAGCATCAGTAGTCGGCGTCGCATCGGTAGCGGTGCCGGATGCGGGAGCAGCGTCGGCCGGCTTGTCGTCGGGCTTGGTGATGCGGCTCGCGAGATCAGCCATGGTGCATGTGTATGTGTGTCTGTTTGTCGTGAAAAAAAACTGCAAGCTCGCTCTGCTTCTTCAACCTGATGATGGTCGTATATCGTATAAAGCCCTTTTTACTCGCTTTTTCGATTCTCCATAAGAGATAAAAGAGAAAGAAATGGACAAAAAGACTAAGCTTTGGCTTGCGGTCTAGGTTGAAGATGGGTGATGAGAGAGTGTGGATTTGCGGCATCTAAAAAGTTGGCGGGGTGCTGCTGGAGGGGCAGCAAGCTCCTTGGACCAGCAGCGGTGCGCACGCCAAGGCAAACGCCCGACAGTTGCAGCGTTGCGCCTCGCCGCTGTTTATCCGGGCCCGTTTGCGAGGAGCTTCATCACTGCGCGACAGCTTAGCAATTGCTATTCGCGACCTCTCATTTACCATCTCTCTTTGCTTCTCAGCTCCCATGCGTCATATATTCATCTTGTGCAAGCCTCGATAGCGTCTTCATAATGGCAGCGCCGCCTCCGCCGCCTCGCGGCCTCTCCCTTTACGAGAACCTCCACGACCCTAACGATCCTTCGCCCTCGGCGACCATATCCTCCGGCCCTGTCCTCTACTCCCAAACCGGCACCACGTCTGCCTCTGCCACCGGTCCTCTTCTCAAGAAGCCCATTGACCCTGCGCTGCGCTTCCAGCCCACGCGCCGCCCGCAGCCGCCCAAACCCAAACCCAAACCCGCCGTTTCCAAATCCATCCCCAAACCACCTGCCGCCGCGCCGACAGAACCGCCGCCACCACCGCCACCGCCACCGTCCTCCGACACCGACGCCGTAAATCCCAGCACTGTAGCACCTACATCAAAGAGCACGCTCGCGGACTGGGCCGCCACCGAAGACGACGAGTGGCTGTACGGCACCGGGGAGAAGCGCCAGCGCGGTGGGCGCAAGGCCAAGAAGAAGCGGCAGGCCCAGCAGCAGCAGCGAGAGACGGACTGGGACGACGTGTATGATGCGTCGAGGCCGACGAACGTGGAAGAGTACCTGCGCAGCGATGAGAAAATCGACGAGGTGCGCGAGTGGAAGGCGTTGCTGTACGGGCACCGCAGAGTCAGGGCGCCGGACAGCGACGGGTCGTCGGATGAGGAGGACGCGAGACCCGTCATGCGTCCGAATAGTGAGCCACGCCCAAACGTACGCCTCATCATGGCGTTTGCATCACATACTAAACTATCATCTAGATCAATTCGCGCCTCCGCCGTCATACGCCGCCGTCCCCCCGCCACCATCCTCTCCTCCTACAACATCCGCACCACCACCTCCTCCTCCTGACGATGCCTCTGGCGACGACGCATACGCCCGCCGTCTCGCCCTATCCTCCACGTCCTCCTCGCAACCACCTCCCCCTCCCTCGTCCACCACCATCTCCGCCGCCCCCATCCTCTATACGCAACAAGAACAAGAACAAGCACCATCTCCACCGCCGCCGCCACGCTCTCCGTCCTCCCGCCCCGGCCAGGCCGGCTTCGCCCACCGCCTCATGGCCAAGTACGGCTGGACATCTGGCCGCGGCCTCGGCGCCGCGGCCTCCGGCATCGTCAATCCTCTCCGGGTGCAGGTCGAGAAGCGTCGCAAAAAAGCAGACGCCGATGGCGGCGGCTGGGCCGAACCCGCCAACAAGGGCAAAATTATTGGCGGCCGCGGCGGCGGCAACGACGACCAGCAGCAAGGGCTCAGCAACGTTATTGTGCTGCTCAACATGCTCGATAATATGCCCGATCTGGCCGCCGAGGTGGAAGACGGCCTTGGGCAGGAGATTGGTGAGGAATGTGGCGAAAAGGTACGTTTCGATACAAGGATACTTTGACCCGAGAGAGTCGGTGGAAAAAGTGTAGCACTAACAGGAAACAGTATGGCCGCGTGGAACGGGTATATATTGACACGGAGACGCAACGCGTTTTCATCAAGTTTACGGACCAGATATCCGCACTTAAGGCAAGTGTACCGTCACTGGCTTACATCATCAGCAACTCTAACATGGTACAGGCCGTTAGCGAACTACAGGGTCGCGTGTTTAACGGAAACACAATTACGCCAAAATATTACAATGACGACGCCTTCGACCGAGGCGTATACACCACGTAGATGCAAATATAGTTGTGACTCCGCTGCACCAACTCAGAGGCGTTTCCCATGTTACGGTTTCAAATATACCAACGTGCAGCTCAGTGGCACATGTCAAGTACGATTCATACATGTAAAATAAAAAATCAATTCAGCTCGTGTGCCAACATTCAAATACAGGGTAATTAATAAGTTCTACTATGTCTGCGGCAAACGCTCTTAGTGAAACAATGCGCTGCGTGCGGGCAGACAGTGCAGCCAGCGTAAAACATCCACAAGTGCAGGCTCAAAAGAAAAAGCAGGTGACATATTTTGGGGTGCAGAGAATGACGCCATTTCCCACCATAGATTCCCATCCTCCAAAAACACAGCGACTCTTTACAGAAGCTGAGCAGCACCTGCAATTAGACCGAGGAAAATGGCGGCAGTGCTGAAGCTAGGAGTGCCAGCGCCGCTGCCATTACCGCTGCTGCCTGTCTTGTTGAGGCCGTTCTGGTCGTTAGCCGTCTTGTTATCGAGGCCGCCGGCACAGTTGACCTTGCCCTGAACGACCTTGCCCTTGAGGCCGTTGAAGAACTTGCAAACGTCGGTGAGGTTGGAGGTCGACTTGACATTGATGGTACCCTTGACATCATCGAGCTTGGGGAGTTCGGCACTGAGAGTTGTTAGTGAAGCTGGCCAGCGGATTAGAAAATGTGGCATACTTTTCAAAGCTTCCGCCGAGGAGCATGTTCTCGACACTCTTGAGCTCGGGGAAACCGGTAATCTCCTCCAGCTTGGTGTTGTTGACAATGGTCAGATCACCGGAAATGGTCTTGAGCAGAGGGAAAGAGATGTTGGTGAGCTTTCCGTTGTTGATGAAGGAGACGGAACCACCGTTCTTCGAGGTGCCGACACTAGTAAGGTTGGCAGCCTCGTAGGTCTCGAGGTTGGGGTTGGTGTCAAACTTGATACCATTCTGGATCTCCTTCAGGGCGGGGGTGCCGAGGCTCTTGATGTTGGAGACCTGAATCTCGTAGGCGGACTCGAGGTCGGTAAGGTTGACCTGCATGTCGTTGCCATTGTTGGTGATAATCAGCGTCTTGGTAATGTTGACCAAGTTGGAATCGAACTTGGCGAGTCTCTTGTTGTTGTTGATGGTCAGGCTGTCGACGGTAGCGAGTTTGATACCACTAAGATCGCTGAGGAAAAGATCGGAAAAGTCGACGGAGCTGGCCTGGGAGACACCAGACGAAGAGAAGGTGAGCTTGTTCAGCTGACCCAGACGACGGAAGGTGAGCTTGTTCAGCTTGGTGAGCTTCGGGAGATCGATAGAGGCGAGCAGACCGGCATCCTCGACGAGGAACTCGCCACCAATGGTCTGGAGGGACGAGGACGAGATGGATAGCAAGTTGGAGGTGTTGCTGACAACAAAGTCCTGCTTGAAGACCTTGGGGCCGTCGATCTGGAGGTTGCCCTGCAGAGAGGGAGAGACGGTGACTTTGGCATCAATGGTATCACAGTCGAATGTGGGGTTAACAGAGTCGATGGTGATATCCGTGGTGCAGTCACTGCTGCCGGCGGCGACTGAAGATCGTGTTAGTTATAGGGAGACACAGAGGTAGGGCGGTAGCAAAGGGGAATGCTTACAAGCGCCAACGCTGGCGGTCGCAAGGACCATGAACTTTTGGAAAGAAGGCATCTTGATCTAGAAAGAATGTGTCAGATTAGGCCGGTTAAGAGGCGTTGCCTAGTTGCTTGAAGTGGACGCGGGCTATGTGCTGTCAAGAGTAGAATCCGGATCAAAATGGAGGCGGCGAGTAGAATCTGATTCCAAGAAATATGCTGAGTCGCTAGTGATGGAGATATGCTTCGTGAGAGCTGATAGTGTCAAGTCGGGACGCGTTTAGAAGCTGAGCAAGCAAAGCTCTTTCCCAGAACGTCGGTTGCTAAGACGAGTTGTAGCGGGAGGTGGGAAAGAGGCCTGGTGATGAAGCTTCTGTGCGTGACCCGACAGATGATGTTTTGGGTAGAAATTGGTCGTCGGGAAGAGAAAAGACCGAAAGAGAGGAGTAGCGGCGTGCAAACGAGGTGCCAGGCGGCGAGCTGAAGTGGGACGAAAGGGCGTTGTACGATGCGGGAAGGAGGTAGACGGGCAGCAAGCGACTGGAATGCAGGCGCAGACGGTAACACGGCAATTATGTTGGCAACAGAGGCGCGGCACTTCAAGTCAACCCGGCAACGGGAAAGGGATAGGAACGCACCAGACGAGTAAAAGTGACAAGAGGTGTCGTTGAAGAGAAAAGGCGACAATGGTCGGACGGTCGTCGAGCAACGATTGACTCCTGGAACAACAACGCGTTAGCTTGAGCGGAAATAGGGGCGGTCGTGGGAGGCGTTGCTAACCCAGTGGCGTTGATAACGAGGGAACGAAGAGAAGAATGAACCAGAGGCAGAAAGAAAAAAAGGGCACGAAGAAAATCGTTGTTTCTTTTTTTCGGGGGCCAGAAAACGAGCGGCTGGAAATGAAGTGGAATAATGGGAGAAGTATTATTAAGAGAGAAAGGAGGAAGAGGTTTTTAGTTCAGGGAGGGACGGGCGAGAGAGTGAGTGAGAAGAGCGAGTGGGAGGAGAGATTGGGAGCTTCCTGGACGACACTAGAGAGGGCCAGTGGGCACCGATGCATGGGCCTGGCCGAGTAGTCCGTACTCGACGACGGATTATCGTAACGTGTTTAGGTACTTGGTGTGAGGGGTAAATGCGTGGGGAGATGAAGTACCGATGCTCTTGACCATATTACGGTACCATTATTTAGTTTTGTGCTGTGATTACAAGGGCCCATTGACCAGTCGCTGGGTTGCCTCTCAAGTCCTGCTGGCAAGAAGCCCAAGAGGACGGGTCGCCTAGCCAGGAGAGTCGCTTGTGTCGGGAAATGAAGAGACGCGATCTAGAACATGGAGTGGAATCTTTGACTATTCATTATATTTGATGATACTTTACTGAAAAAGACGATGGTGTTGAGCAAATGCCAGAATGCCAGCTGGCCACTGTTGCAGTGCTCTGGCAGGCTGGCAGGGTGCAGCATGTAGTCACGGGCCTTATTACGGCTTACTGCACCAAGGTACGGCCCACGGGCACGGGTACCTTGTTGCAGAATCGCCACATACAAGTTCCAAGGCCCAGGGGCAAAAGAAAGAAAACAGGCACAAGCTGTCTCCATTGTTGGCCAGCCTGCACTTGGAGTGGGGCCACCCCCACAAGTTCAGGTGCCAGCACTGCTGAAGCTGTGGAGCCACAAAACGCAGCACAGGTCGCAGGTCAAGGTGCAAGCAGAACTTGGCGGCCATTTAAAATCTTTCAGATGGTCTCTGTCTGTATCCGCGATCTTGAATGTAAAAATCAATTGTAAAAAGCATACAATCTAGACATGATGCGTCACCAATTGCCATCAATTGTCCAAGACTACTTGCAAGAGTTCTTCTTGGCTTCGTATCACAGCGCCCTACCAGGCTACTATCCCTGCTGTATGTCCCTCCGGGGGGGCCTGTCCGATACAAATCCTCGTCGCAGCACAGCCGCAAAGCCACATTTGCATCGCACGATGCAATTGTCAACTTGTCATGGACCTCTCGACCTCTTGACCTCTCATGCTCGAGTTCTCTCCGTCTCTGTCGCCATGGCCATTTATTCATCACTTCTCTGCCTCTTCTCTCAACATAAGCACTGTGATTCTATTGTCATCGCACATCACTCATTGTTCCATATAAAATACATCGAGGCCAGATGACCTCTATGTATTCGTATCATGAGCCATTCTATTCCGGGCCATTTACTCCTCGGCTTATCACCCTCACGGCCAGCTTCCATCACAGGTGTACAGTCCTTAGACTATCGACTCAGTAGCCACCCATCTTCTCTTCTCGTGATGATTTTCTTTATTTTTTTACCTCTTTCAAAGCACCAGCACGACAAGAAAACTTTATACCCCACTCCATCCCTCAGCGACGCTTGCGCGTCCCCCACCTCTCGCTAGCACGCAGCACTAAAACAACACCATGGGCGCTATCATATTAGTGCATGGGAATGGTCTTCCCAAGGCCGACCATCACTCCAGTCGACCAGTGCACGGAACGTCTGAACCATTTACCTTGTTTCAACCCACCAAGACGGAAAAAAAAAAAACATCAAAGCCGGCAGCTTCCTTTGTAAAGCGTACAGCCACCAAGACGACGCCAAAACTCTTGGCCTTGCCACCACGCATACCTGCTTTACGCAGAGGGTGCAATGTACACGCAGGGGAAAAAAAGTAAAAAGAAGAAGAAATTCCTTGATTGCTACGCACTAGAACCGAAAGGTGGCAGCAAACGACGAATTTGTAAAGTGCTGCCGCACCACGGTATCAAAGCACACATTGACACGCAATCTTGACAGACAGAAGGACACCTGCAAATGCGACCTAGTGCCACGATCTGCAATAGACCATCTGCCGATCTGAATAATTAGTGGACAGATGGGATTGGGTGAATCAGCCCGTTGAACCTTTACCAATAACAAAGAGCTGCCCGTTGCCCAAAAAGGTTTTTGCTGTCATGACCATCCCAGCTGCTGCTGCTCGCATATGTCAATTGGCATCTATTTAGGGCCAATTTACGTAGTATATTTATTTTCCTTCTCTAGACAAAATTTTCTTTCAAGTCGCCGCGCCACCGGCATCCTGCATCCGCGCATTCCGTCTGTTCCTTCAAGCCAAGCCCGACTTCTTACGAGCCGCTTCTTTTTCTCCGTCTTGGCTCCCTGCCTTGGTTGCCAAGGTTGCTTCTGCCGTTCCTCCGCGCTCGTCAAAGTAGACTGACACTTTTGTATTTCCGTGTCGCCGTGCTGCTCCAAGTCCTACCTACCTATGGGATTACTTAAATACTGATTACTATTTACGTTTTGCCGAAAAAACGCCACGCAATGCTTGGCAGCTGCCACTCCGTATTCCTACATTCTTGACTGTCAAACTGTTCAACAACATGCTTGGCTGCATGGCGCTGTAATAAGAGAAAAAGAAGATTAAAAAGAATTTTTTTTGGCTAAAGGGATTTCTTGGGGGGGATCTACATCGCCTTTGTCTCGTTAAGCTGAATCGGCATAGGTGAGTCCGTCTCACTATCCTAGCAATAATTACCAGTAACGGCAATAAACAAACAATTTTCCATTCCAGACTTATTCTTCCATTGTAAACTGAAGAGGACCCGAACAGGTATCGACAATGTGGATAACTGTCGACGGGCGCCCAGGTCACACAAATGCATTACACCAAAAGACTATGCTGGGGCGGCCATCTGCGAGATCATATAATAATTGAAATGACGCCTCTCTTCGTGCTACGGTGCTGCTGACGACTCATCATGGCATATTAATGAGCCTCATTCCATCCCTTCACTCCTGGGCGGGCTCCTAGGCTTCTAGCCCCTAGATTTGTTAGGACGGGCGCGCCCACCAGCGCGTAACTCATTCGCCGTGAGCAGAAAGAACAACGGACGTTGTGACATTATCATGCAATCGTTATTAACCAGTGGGGACCGAGTGAAATTGCCCAATATTGATTTTTCCTCGTCTTCCCGCCGTTAGCGTCGTCTGCCCCGATTGTGGCGGGCCCGAGGACAACAATTCTTTGCGATGGAATACGAAAGGACATCTCCATGGATATATATGAATACGACAGGGCTGCAAGGCTCGCACAGCTGCCTTGGCCGGAGGAATACTCTGGGGTTGCTCGCCATCATGCTGCTGTGCAAAACCGTCTCATTTGACCGATTAATTTTGGCAAATGGCAAATTACAATATTCGGCAACCCCGTTACCAAATAACGTTGATATTATATACCTAATTTACAGAGCCATGTAAATCATCCCTTGAACGCCGCACTCGCTTTTAGTAACCAATCATAATAATCCATCATATTCCATCATAACCCACCACGTGCCATTTTGAAGGCGACAGTCACGACTCACAAGATTCTTGGGCATCCCATCGATTCTGCCAGCAGATCTCTCCAACAAGCAGGGCCTAGGCAGACAGCTGCCTCCCTATAGCATCACCATCCCCCCCAGCCGCCATATTCCCTCACGACTACTCCATGGTGCTGACGTCCGTCTCTTCCACCCGCCACATGTACCACATAAATAAGCTCCGGTACGGCGCAAACCTGTCCGACATGGCCACCATGTCCTGCTCCGACATGTACTTCCATTTGCCGCCCTTGTTGCGCAGTTTGGCCACGTCGCGTCCCGCAAATGCCGCCATGCCGCGCTGAACGCCCAGATCGCCAAGCGAGAAGACGTCCATGCGCTTGAGCCCAAAGCACGCAAACATTTCGACCGACCATCGCCCGAGTCCGCGTACCGCCAGCAACTTCGCCAGCACCTCGTCGTACGGCGCGTCCTGCAGCATCTGCGCGCTGAGCTCCCCCGAAGTGAATCGGGCCGCCAGCCCGTGGATGTACTCGGCCTTGCGCTGGGATAACCCGGCCGTCCGCAGCGTCTCGAGCGGCGTGGCGGCGACCTTTGATGGGTGAGGAAACCGGGGCGTAGCATCGCCATCGGAGGTCGCGGCAAAGAGCATAATGAACTTGTTCTTGATCGACTTGGCGGCCGCGCCGGACACCTGCTGCGAGATGATGCCGCTCGTAATGCTCTCAAATGGATCGACCTCTTCAGCCAGGCCCTCGGGCGAAAAGACGCGGCATGTGTGCTTTTCTATCAGCGGCCGCATCCGCTCATCGACGCGAATCAGGTGGTCGCACGCCTCCTGCAGCAGTGTCTGCGTCGTCGTCGTCGTCGTAGTAGTAGTAGTCTTGCCCTGGCGACCTTTGGACGGCGACGGTGGCGGCTGCGCATCGTCTCGCGGCGCAATCAGCCGCGAAGTCTCGGGTGATAGCAGCATCGCATTGGTGCCGCGCGGGTTAGCGAGGCGCGTGACACCGGCCGGCTTGGGCGTCTGCGGCCCCTCACGCGTGGCCGGCTCGGCGATAATGCCGACGGCGCTAGGCGTCGGCGTCAACGGCGGGGGCGTAGCAGCAGTGCGCTTCTTCTTCTTCGGCGTTGATGGTGCTTCGTCTTTGGGCGGCTTGGCGTCGGCCTTGCGCTTGCGACCGTTGGCTGTAGATGAGGCGGGCGCGGTGGGCGGTGGCATCGCTTCCGTGGCGGCGCTGAGCCGTGAAGACCGCCTCGTCCCAGCCATGGCGATGATTCTGTATGTTCGTAGCCGTATCTTGGAGTTGCTTGCAGCGGTGATGGCACGAGCTGTTGGCGTAGATTGTAGCGTGAGAGCCGAGATACGGAGGGTGAATGACAGTCCCGCAATCATACACAGTAGAGACCTGGGTGCCGTTGAAATTGGTGTCTATGGATGGAGATTCAATTGCGGCCGATGACGACAGCTACTCGAAGCATTAACAACGTATAGTCGCCATTCAATGGAGGATGATGGTCAAAAGAGAGGGATGACAAATTGCGAGCTTTCACGGCATCAGCGAACGGGAGCTCTGTGCAGCCAGCAACCTTACGGACCTACGTAATAGCTAGGGCGTAGCTCAGCGCGAAAGAGGCCCGTTTTTGCCCTCCCAATCAATAAGGTAGTCTTACCCTGCAACTACTACGTACCTAGGCCGACATCAACCGTCG